GAACGAGCCGTTTTAGGTAGGTGTGGTTGACTCTTAACTTTTATAAAGAATATCTCTTTGGATTTGAGACTTTAGTCTTTGCAACTTTACAGATCTTCTTTATGCACCAAGAGCTTGTAACACTCCAAAGAGAAAGGAAAACTTGAAATCGCATCATATGACCCCTTTAACTTTAAACAGTCACTTCTGGCCAAAATATGAGTCCATAATCCATAATATCGCGTCCGCCAGTGATAAAGTCCATCTCCTGTTGTCTCTCACATCAAAATCCACCTGTTTTGGCTTGTAAACGGTGCTTGTGCAGATTCATCTCTTGATTCAGACCAGATTAATTTTTTCACTGGAGGAAGTGTTATTATGGATAGAAGACTTAAAGCAAAAAAAAAAAAAGGAAAAACATCTTGATGGATTTCTTTATCACAAACATGCAGCTTCTCACTTCTCCAGATGTTAACTGCTGGACTGGAGTGCTGTGGATTACTTGTGGATTATTGTGATGTTTTTATCAGCTGTTTGGACTCTCATTCTGACGGCACCCATTCACTGCAGAGCATCCATTGCTGAGACACCGATGCAATGCTACATTTCTCCAAATCTGATGAAGAAACAAACTCATCCTAATCTTGGACATTTTTTAGCAAATTTCCTGGTAAACTTTTCAATTCGCTTAAATGAACTGTGGCTTTGTAAGTTTGGTGGCTGGTGTGACCTAATTTTATGTCATGAAATTCAGACATTTTTTTTTTTTTTTTTTTTTAAAATAAGTATCAGCTAGATAATCTATTGAATGCAAAATTTTATACGTAAAATGTTCTTAATTTTATATGATTACTTTTATAATAGTGTTTTTTTGTTTGTTAAAAAAAGATTAAACATTTTAAAGCAGATATTCTAACCACATTTAAAGCTGTTGTAATGTGGCCACACATCAGTTGTTTTCTAGTTGTTGTTTCTAGTAATTACTCGGCAATTGTGAACATCTAAAATAACTTTTTGCAGTGTGTTAAACAATTAATGAGTTTTTCAGTGTATTATGGTTGCTCAGTTTTTTTTTTATTTGTCCATTTTGCATGTGAATAAAATACAGTAGTCATGTCCACTGATATACATGCAAAAATAGGCTGTTTAAAGAAATATATATGACAGAAGAAAAAAAATCACAGTAGTATTGTGTATGTTTGGTGGTGGTCTCACTGCATTTCTGATCATTTCACCTGATAATGGCGTAACTCCAGATATATTCTAGAGTAACATGTGGTGTCTGAATTTCAAAATGTGATTTGTTCTCCTGTTGCTATTGAAATTTCTATGCATATGTATTTTAATGCATTGAATACTTTTCTGACTCTTCTTTCTTTCTTTCTTTCTCCACAGATGAAGATCAGGATTAAGGTTTAAATTTGAGAATTCAACTGCAAAACCATCTGTTTCTTTTTCTTTTTTTATTTGTTTATCTTTTCTCTTTGTAATTAAGTTATTTTTATTATGGGATGCAGTGGTCTTAATTACTGTCCTGTTTATGTAACTGGTTGTATAATATTTAAATGTATTCCTTGTTCTGTAATAAAGTATTCTACATCAAATCTTTGACAGGTTTTTCAGCCATTGCTAAATATAAGCAGTTTATGTATGAATATAGAAAATTTTCTATTGAGAGTTAATATACATTAGAGTGTTTGGAATGTTTTTTTTCACAATTCTGTTTTATGTTCAGTGCTTTAGAAACTTAAAACATTAAAGCTACAGAGATACATTCGAGTTTAATAAAGAATAAATAAGCTATATAATGAGATCTATACATTGTTTTACATTTTAAAAATGTGCAATATAAATTTGAAGCTGAGAGATACATTTTGGATGTTGAACAACTCGGCTTGTATATTAAAATGTGAACAATTAAAGGCATCAAAATTTGAGAAAAAAATTAAGAATTTTCAGTTATTGCCAGGAAAATTGAGATAATGTATGTACCAGTCAGATAAAACTTATGTTAATAGTATTGATGTTAAATGTGTTCAATATAACAAGCCAAACAGATTATGAGAGACTGTAAAAGAGTTCCATATTAGAAATGCAAGATGAAATCAAAAGGATATTAAATTGCTGACTGCATGAAATCTTCAGACATTTAACCGGGTGTTCAATAAAATTATTTCTACTAGGATTCATAATCTATATTTATGATAAATTTGAGTTGTCATTGATTTGAATAGGATAATCTTGTACCATATTGATATAAAAATACAAAGATGAAGAAAATATATTCCATTCTTTGTTATGAACATCGTGAAGTAAATTAAGGTTTTCCAAACTGGGCTTCGTAAAGGAACTGCAGATGGTTCATGAGTTTAATGAAAAGCTAATAATGAAATTCATTTTTTTTTTTAAATTAAAATAATGAATTTTAATAATTCATAAATTATTTTAATAAATCATTTTAAAATGACAATCAAAATAAAATGCTTACTAAAAAATTAAATATTTTATTTGTTTATCTGCATGTTATGTGACCATTAACCACCCTCAAAGAACTGTGAACATGCAATGTGATGCTTAATTATTAAAATATTTATTTTAAAACCTTAGGGGTACTTAAAGTAAATATATTAGGTGAAAGAGGTTTAGCTGACAAAAAAAGTTTGGGAATGCCTGCATTACATGTAAATAAGAAATAACATGAATTTGCACATTTTAATGTGTTTGAAAGACAAAAGCCTTCCAAAGACACAGTAATGCATGGTTAAATTACCTTTAATGAATGTGTTCATCAGTAGTTGATGCAATGATGAAACACTTCTTAAACCTGAACTGATTTCTGAATAATATGTTGCTATTATGTGAATATGTAATCAATGAAACGTAACTGTAGTCTGATGAATATTTTAAAATGTAATATCATCTAATTACAAGTACTTAATTTTTGGAATCTGATTACGTTATCCAGATTACATGTAATCAGTTACTACCCAGCTCTGAATTAATATATATATATACAGTGTTGGGGGTAACGCATTACAAGTAACACAAGTTACGTAATCAGATTACTTTTCAGTTAAATGTGGTGAAGGAGGCAGCGCCGTTGTCATGGGTAAGTCAACTCTGTCATCTTTTAATGTTTTGTAGCCTACCGATATGTTTTAATCGGATGTCTACAGTGACCGATGTTCTTCTGACAGATCAAGGAGCACATTACCAAAATCATCCAGATGATGGACGGGCATCGACTCCTAATGTTTGCCTACAGAGTGTGAGCTGTGATAATATGATAGAAATACCTTTTTTGTAACTTAACTCTCACAGTGTTTCTGACATTTGTAGTGTGAACTGTAAAATACCACATGAAATCTGATGTTCACAAAGCTAAATCCATATCAGTTTTGAAATGAGATGCATATATAATCTCATGCAAAGTGTGCAACATTGTCTGGAAATGTCCATTTTCATTCGCTCCTCGTTAATGTTGTGAAGTATGTGACCTTCACTATGTAGTGAATGAGTAAACGAGTCATACCGCACGTGCGAGAGGATGTAAAAATCCCTTTAATTTCCTCCATAGACTTGATCGGTGTCGCGTCATAGCTGTGTGGGCGGAGTCGGCGTGGGGGAAAACAGTACTTTCCCCCTCATTGGAAAAGCATGGTGTTGACTCAGAATGGCCTACATAAAATCATTTCTGCCGCTCGAGAGAGCAACATACGCATAAAACGCCACACAGCAACTTTTCGGCATTGCACCAAGCAAAAATCAATCGAAATCATCACAAAAAGTAAAGCTCAAGCGCCTAACAAGGTCTCCGAGCACTAATCCGAATGTTTTTTGTTTTTTTTAAATGCTTTATTAATTCAATGCCACAAGAACATGAGGTATTACATATTCACATTATCAAATTAACATTATTAGCTGCCAGAGAAAAAAAGGGAAGAAAATTACATAAAGTTCAATGTTTTCAATGCTTTTTTTGTTTTTTGTTTGTTCTAAGAGATTTACATATCATTTAAAGTCGTTTATAAAATGTGCAAAATTTGGTTTACATTGAGCCCACTTCTTCTTATGTATATGGAATTTTCCTAACAAAATAAACAAATGTATATAATATGTCGTTCTTTACAATTCAAATTTTCGTTTTCTGTATAAAAAAGTACATCAAATATACACATTTCTATCATACACTCTATTTTTCTGTTAATATAGAATTCCAAATCCTATTCGAATGGTTTGTTTTCCCCCTCGGCATTAACGGTTATGACGTTTTTGTGGGCGTTCCCAGCAATGCCTTTTAACAATAACTTCTAAAAGAAGGTTGTTTATCAATGGCATATGCTTTTGGTGAAGTCATCAGTCTGCATCATTTCAACTTTTAAAAAAAATTGCGCAAAGTTAAAAGTAGCCTACATTTCTCAAGATTCTGCAACTGCCCACATAAAGCCTTGCCAATAGTCAGTATGCCTATTCTCTCTAACTGCTTAAACATGATATGCAGATTTTGCAATAAATATTAAAATTGTTTTCTACACATACCTATATTATCAGCATTACTTTTTTCATTCAATGTTTTTAATTCGATTGTCAGTTGGATCGTAGTTCTTTCCCGTGACGTACAGTCTTTTATCTTTGATTTTTAAATACTTTTTTGTTTCAAATCAAATTTCGTAAGGCTGACATTTTAGCTTGTTTTTGATGGAAAAAATACAGAGGCCTCTGAAAAAGTTGTTGCTCTCGGTTGTGCTTTATTACAGTTTATCCTTTCTGCATTTACTTGTTTACTAGTCTAGTTTTACTAAACTTGGCGTTGTTTACTGTGACTATTGTTGGCACCATGACAAATAGCTTGTGATGTTCCTCATTTGTAAGTGACTCTGGATAAAAGCAAGTGTTGAATGTAAATGTGATGGGTAATGTGTGTCTTTGTCTTCAGTATGCTACAGGGTGAGTATCATCTCCAGTCCTGAGTAACGGTGGGGCGGTGGATAAGGAGTTAGACTGCAGGTGAGAAGGTTGCAGGTTCGAATCCAGGTCAGAGTGGGTCGTGATAGTTCAGACTGTGGTTGGTCCCAGTGTGGCTGTGAGCTGATCAGTGCCGTAGTCCTGGACGCCACACAGAGTGATGCTGGCTCCTGCCGACAGGGCCTGTCGAGGCCTCGGGATCCCTGTGCGATGGTGCCACACACATGTTTGGATGAGCTGCTGCTTACCTTTATTTCCTTCTACATGCAGCTGACTTCCAGTTCAGCCCGAGACAGGCATCCCTCATGTTACGGGGAATCGAGCTGGAGCTTCTGCTTTTCTTTGTTTACCGTTTTGTTAATGGCGTGAGACTGTTTATGCCACTATCTGATAATGTAATACATTAACCCAACAAAGTCCTCTAAACTATCAGCATGATTTGCCTTTTAGTATATTTGAAATTGTCCACCTTGCGCTTAGTGTGTCTTTCTGATGTGAAATATTCACTGTTTTTTTTTTTTTATGAAGTAAAATAACTTTTATATTGTTACTGATATTTAAACATGAACACTAGGTTTACTTGATTATTCATATATATATTTTTTTTTTGAAAAATTTAGGTGTTTTCTGGAGTATGAATGCCATATTCTCCATATCATATTACAAGAGCCATAAAAATCCGATGTATGATACTTAACAAAAAGCGCATTTGCAAAAATTTTTTGTTTTTAAGATTTTGTCGAAAGGTTGAAGAAACTGTTTCAAAAAAAAGAAAAAAGAATTGTATTAATTCTTTTTTAAAAAGATTTTTCAAAAAATTATTTCTAAGTCTAATTTTAAACGGTTATTTTTTTCTTTAAAACCATGAAGAAATGACAATAATAAAAATCAATTATTAATGTTTGAAAAACCTCCAAATCAAAGTTTACTTCCAGAAGGAAGTCATTTTGTTGACTTGTGACAAGAAAACCATAAAATATGACACAGAAAACATCCTTATAGCTGTGTCTCACAAGTCAAAGTTTCTTAAATATTAGATACTTTATTATGGTTAAATCTTCGGAAATGATTAAGATTTACTTGCATGTATTCAAGACATTAAATGTTTAGAAAAACATTTCTTTAAAATAAATCCCCCCCCCAAAAAATAACATGAAACACAAGAACTTGGAGAATGTGTTTTTAAAACAGACTTTTTAAAAAAAAAAAAATTTTCTGTGTTGTTCTTTTCTGCCTGTAAAACACCTTTTTGAACTGATGTTAGTCTTTTGAAGAAATTTTGTTCTTCTGCTAATACATTGCTCTAGAATAAATTTTTTATTAAATCAGTTCAAATTCAGTATTAAAATGGGACATTTAACATCTTAAGGTTTGTTTGTTAGGTTTTTTTTAAACCCTCTTTTCTATGTTTTAACCTGTTTTTTGTTGTTTTTTTTGGCCATGAACGTAGCCTAGGAAGCGAAACAAGTGAAGTTAATGTTTATATTGCATCCTTGCAGGTCTATTGATCTTCTTTCTGTCTTACTCTCTAGCTGTCATGACTTTCTCCACCTCCAGCAGTGAGAAAGAAAGCTGCTCGCCTTTATACA